CTTTAAAAAAAAAAAAACTTCTAGGGCTGTGGTTGTGGCTCAGTGGTAGAGCATTTGCCTCAATATGTGTAAGGAACTGGGTTCAATTCTTAGCCATCTATATAAAAAATAACTTCTGAAAAGCAGAATATTGGAGATAAGCTTCATGCCAATAACTAATAAGAAATTAATTTTGATGAGATTTAGAATATACACAGCTGACACCAAAACTAACCAGTATCCTTGACCCCTAGTAGCCAATATGGTAATTGACAAATATACTTTAATAGTCTTTAACAAAAGATTATGACTAAACCATTAAGACCAATATTTTATTTAAAAAAGAATTTTTATAGTTGTAAGTGGACAGCATGCCTTTATTTGCTTAGTGTATGTGTGTGTGTACATATATTTATTTTTTTTAATGCTGTGCTAAGGATCCAATCCAGTGCCTCACACATGCTAGGCAAGCATTCTGCCACTGAGCTATAGCCCCAGCCCAAGACCAATATTTTAAACACAATTGTCAATAGTATTTTCTTACTGATTTCTCATCAAGAATGCCATTATACCTCCATTGTACCTATTGACTTAACTTTTATTATCACCAAGGATGAATTAAAAGTATTTGGGGATAAATAATTTTATGATTGCCATGGTTCTATAGGATTTTTTTTTAAATGACATCTCTCCCCTCATACACTTACTTTTAAAAAGTTTATTATTTATTTATTTTTAAAAAATAGTGCTGAGGATCAAACCCAGTGCCTCTTAAGTGCTAGTCAAGCATTCTACCACTGAGCCACAACCCCAACCCCAGCTGTATAGGAATTTAATGATGGAATAGGAACTATTTTTTGCACATTTCACCCTATATGCTCCTTACTGTGCTACAGACTCTAAACATATTTGCACTGCAAATCAGAAATAGCTGGTATTTTAAAAATTAAGCAAAAGAAAAATAACTGGTTTTATTCCCACTTTATGTGGAAAAACAGGCTCAGAGATGCTCAGTCATAAGTCCTGGAAATCACAGGTAAGCGGCAGAGCCAAGATTCCAACACACTCTACTTCCAAATACCACGCTGCTATAATCTACTAACTAGACTTCAGTTTCTTATTTATAAAACAAGAATAACAACTGTCTAAGGGCACATCAAAATGCCCTCCCAGATCCTGCTAGCTACTAAGTCTCTCCATCCTCAGAAACCACAAAGTCCTCAAAATTCTCATCCCTTTCAGTATTTATTAGATGTGGTTATATTTTCTCCAAATAACTTAAAATCTCAGTCCACTTCTGATTCATTCTAGTAGTGATCTTCATTGTCTTCATATAACAAGATGCTTAGTTGCTGAGTAAGGTAGAGAATGATTAAAATTTATAAATTATACCAGAACCAAATTTTATACAAAAAAAACTTTCCATGAAGAAAAAAGGGTGGTGTTGAGTGCAGAGTTTAAGAAATAAAGCATGTAAATAATAAGATATAGACCTCTTAAGAAAATTAAATATACACAAAGTAGGGAATGATTATTTTACATAAGAATTTTTTCTCATAACTCTTTTTAAGAAAGAGTACCTTTAAATATGAAATCTTCTATTAGAATGCATTTAAATGCATTAATATTTATTTATTTATTCTTTGGTACCAGGAATTGAACTCAGACGTGCTTAACCACTAAGCCACATCCCCAGTCCTTTTATGTATTTTGAGACAGGGCTTCACTAAGTTGCTAAAGCTGGTTTTGCACTTGCAATCCTCCTGCATTAGCTTCCCAAGCCACTGGGATTATAGGCACTTACCACCACAGCTGGCTTTTAGAATTTAAATATACACAAAGTGAATGTGTAGTCTTTAAAAACACATCACATAAAAATTTCCATATGCCTAGAATTCTGCCATTGAACTCAAAAGAAAACATGTTTAAAAAAAAAAAAAAACACCTTTTTTTAAGCATTAAGAATTAAGTTCCTAAGGGCAGGAACCATGATCACCTTGCTCACTGGCTCTATCTCTAGAATCTAGCATAATGCTCCGCAGTTTATCCAGTAAACACTCTAATACTGACTCAACCAGGAGGACATAGAACCCAGTTCAAATCTGTAATTAGTCAAAAATTCTCCAATGCCTGATGAGGCTCTCTGGTTTATGAGGATTGGATCCTCACTGTTCTGACAATATTCTTGCCATGTATACTATTCCATGAAGTATATGTAAATAACCAATGGTTAAAAGCTTTAACCTGAAACTTAAAATTTTAAAAATATTTAAGTTGTAAATTACATTTAGATCAACCAAAATTATTTTTCAATGTTGATTTCCTGGTTTTGATAATTGTTCTGTGGTTCTGTAGGATGTGGTTAATTAGGATGAAGAACATGTGAAAACTATATTAATTTTGCAACTTTAAGTATACATTTCAAAATTAATTTTAAAATTAGAAATTTTTAAATTAGAAATACTTACTGCACCAAGTGAAGGTCCATATCTTCCTGTGGCAACTTTACACATATAACTGACAAAGTTGGAAATAACACCTGAGAAATAAGTCATAGTTCAACAGTTTGAATAAGGTTTAAAAATGACTTCTATTTTTTATCTCTACCGTCCACAGATTAATAGTGTCAGGTTTGTACCTGTATCACTCCAAGGGTGCCAGCACGAATACTTAATCTGCCAATCATTTCAAACAGTTTTAGGGAAAGAAAAATCTGACCCACATCATAACTTGCCATTGACTTTACCTCTCAGTTACCATTTTCCTCATATATAATTTAAAGAAAAGGAGGCTAGTTCTCAAATTCACCAACTATCTCAGAACCCCCTGGGCAGACATGCTAAATCATAATCTCTGGTGGGACACTAAACTAAATGATCCATTAGGTTCCTTTTGCTTCAATGACAGTTGAGCTCAGTGTGGCTCATTTTAAAAAACAACTTCCTATGGAACAGGAATTAATGGCATCTGAAACACCCTTTGTACAACAACTACTCCCACAACTAGTACTTGGGGAAATAATTATATATATACTACCTTAGAGGCCAAAAAAGGGAAAAAAAAAATGTTCAGCTTCTACTTTTGATGGACTAGACACATATACCTGAGTGTTCAATTGATATTAATTTAGGAGTCACTTTGGATCATGTAGTAGATGCTTTTATTTAATCTTTTCTACAAGGCCCTGTCTTGAAAAGATACGTATCATTACCCCCAGAAAGGCATAGTTATTTCTGCCAAATCACACAGCTGGTAGCAGAAATGGGCTCTGAACCTAGGTCTTCTGTCTCAAAACTCAGTGCTTTTTTCACTACAGCACAATTGGCAGATATAAAATTTTTAAATGCTGGGACTTTAGAAATGAGTTTTTTGTTTTACTTATATAAATTTTGCAAACAGGTGAGCAAAAGTTGATCAATTAACCACTTAGCAGCAATTAGTAAACTGGAATCACAGGCTACCATTTCCTAATTAAAATATTTTAGAAATGATGCCATCTCCAGAACCACAACTAGGAAGTGTTGTCCTACATATAGTCTGGCAAAAAAACACACTCACTCCTCTTGGCAATCAATAACATTGGATCACTCTGATCAAGCTTTATGCAAACTGAGCACAATGGGGGAAGTGAGCCTGCTTAAGATTATTTAACACAAACTCAGATGACTAAGACAGCTGGAAAGCCTAGGAGCCATTACTCGATATAATGGTGAGCCTGAGCTAGGAAAAAAAAAAAAAAAAAAAATCAAGGCCTGGTTAAGATAAAAATGACATGTAAAGGTCCTGAGATTAAAATTCATTACCTGCAGATAGGTACACTGCCATGAACTGCTCTTGACCCAGAATATTCACTATGCTGGAAGAAAAGCTCCACAAAACATACATATTTGCTGCCATGTGAAATAAGGAGAAATGACTGAATGTTGACAACAACATTGGAGAACAAAGGACCTCTACAAGAGAAAGAAAAAACAGAGTCTGGTAATTGAAGAACACAAAGCTAGTAAAAATTATCTAGTTTAGAGTTCTCAGTATTATCAAATAAACACAGGAAGCAAAAACAGAGCCAGTTAGTTTTAATAAGATGATGTAAGAGTACTTTTCAAAGTGATAAAAAGCTATCTTAATCCCTTTTCTACTTAGTAAGCAACCAATAAAAATTCTCAGTTCAACAGAGGCAAAAGTTACAAATAGAAGAAGCAAATTATTTTAATTTTAGATATAAACTTGCAGTGATCATAGATCTTAATTCATTAAAAAATATTCACTGTCTATGTTTTAGTCACCTGGGATTCAGCAATGAAAGAGACAAGGTCTTTGTGCTCTAGAAGCTGATAGTCCACCCTCCAGATTTTGTTTATAACCGTTGACAGTATCTCATATTTTTTATTTGTAGGATTTCAATTAACAAAGCATATTTATTTCACATTATCTCTACCTCAAAATCACAAATTAGACTTACTTGAGGCCGGATTGGATGTGAAGTATCTCATCATTGTCCGCTGCAGAGAAGGTACTCTCCACAAACAGAATACAAGGACATTTGCAGCTATAATACCTGCAAAACAAATACAATTTAAGGAGGTTAAAAATAAGAGAAAAGAGGCCAGGTGTGACAGCACATGCCAGTAATCCCAGCGAATCAGGAAGCTGAGGCAGGAGGATCACAAGTTCAAGGCCAGCCTCAGCAACTTAGCAAAGCCCTAAGCAACTCGGCAAGACCCTGTCTCAAAAAATAAGAAGGGTTAGGGATGTGACTCAGTTGTTAAGAGCCCCTAGGTTCAATCCCTGGCACCAAAAATAAATAAATAGGAAAGAAAATCAGATCTAAAGTTCACCCGAATACAGTGAGCTAAGGAAAGCAAATGAAATCAATGTCTATAAAGTATCCTGGTTAAGTCAGAGATTCCTGAAAAACTGCAAATGCTCTAGGAGTTAACTTCCTTCACCTAAATCCATATTTCACTTCTTCACAACAGTTTACTTTTTTCAATAAATAATGAGATCTATAATTATTGTTTGATAATGGACAATTCAGAGACAAGTAATGTACAGAATTAGGTTATCTGGCCAAGAGTAGAAAAGCTTAACATCTCATCTTTTCCCATAGGGATGGCATACTTCTTAAACTTATGGTAAAAATTCAGAAATAAAAAAAGAAAAAGAGAATTCAGGGATAATCTAGAAGAATTTTACAACTGCTTATTTGCAATGTTTACATATGGAAACTTGGCTGACTTTTTGTGCAAGAACTTATAGTGTTAGATCAATAAATTGAGTAGGTTTAACTATAAAATTAATGATTAGTCATTAATTAGGGTCAAAATCAAGTTATTCTTGAAAATTATACACTTTAAAAATGCATTTATTTTTTAAATTGCCACACTCCTTGCACAAAGTATACTATCATCTACTTGTTGATTTCATTAAAGGACTTAAACATTGCTCATTCCTCTAATCTCTAGGCAACAGGCAAGTAGCACTTCAACTTCTTCAATGGTAAGGACTACAGCAACATTCTGATAAGAAATTTTCTTTAAAAGATACTCTTTTTAGGGTCCTTGCCAGCAGCTCTATATTTTGGAGTCACTGTTGGCTTCCACACTTGCTCATTCTGTGAGGCTCTGGGTTACCACCTGGTATTATGGTTTCTGCTCTCCCTCTTGAGTTAGGTAGAAAGGAAGATATCATTTTTCATAGATTTTTTTTTTTTTTTTTGGTGGTGCTGGGGATTGAACCCAGGGCCTTGTGCATGCAAGACAAACACTCTACCAACTGAGCTATATCCCCAGCCCCATTTTTCATATATTTTAAGACATCATTTACCATGTAAATATCTGAAATCAGGACCATTATAGTTTAATTAGTTGAATTTTTTTTCTCTTCAATAGTACATTAAATTGCATTCAATTGAATTGATTCCATCCATTGTACCAGATGTCTCACTAATAGGCACTGCAACAGCTGTAATGCCATCTTTGGTAAATAACTAACTAGAATTCTCAAAGATGGTGAGAGGAGCAGTGTTTGTGAAAAAATGGGAAAAAGGAGTCCTGAGCAAGGCAAGGAAGAGCAAGTGTGTATCTCCTAATGAGGAACCTGCTATCTGGGATGAGGAAGTGAGCAGATTCTCCACAGATGGAGAAATGGAATCCTAGAGGAGTGTCCTATGGGAAGTGAGCCCAGTGTTGCCTAGTTTTTTTTAGTTTGTTTTGAGAGCCCTCCCTTAGGTCTAGATAATCATAGTGACTGATATTTTGGGTAAAGAAAACCTGAGAATAATTTAGCCATGACCATAAAAATGCAGGAAGTTTCCATGATCATAATGTTAGGCATCCAGGGATTAGGCATTTACTCTACAATTCAATGCAAGAGAGCAACATGAGTCCCCTGATCCCACCTGCCAGCCTAAAAAATGGCAACCACTACTCTATCTACTCTGTCAGTTCCATAAGCTACTTCCTCAAACCAGTGACAGAGCACACACAACTTCTGGAAACCATAGCACGTAGTAAAGCAGGATGCATCTCTGGATGAAGTGATTATAACAACGGAAAGATAACTACTAATATGAAGGTTAACAGTCATCAGAGTTAATACTGCAAATATAACTGCAAAAATCCTTTCTGACAAGTTACAATATAGTACTGGCACCATAGTCAAAATCTCTCATGAAGACCAGTGATCACTAAACTTCTTTGATTAGGAACACTAACAATAAACAGTTGAATATACACACCTAATATATCTATATTTAATTACAAATTATGTACATGAACCAATATAATTCATTGTAAAACAGACACACTAAGAAGAAATGAGAAAAGTAAAATGCAAGTATTTTCTTCATTGTAAACTGCATTCTAGTACCCTTTCCATCTAGTACCCTTTCCACTTTCCATTGTGATTTATTTATTTCAATCTTGGCCACCAGAGGGCTTCTGACACCAGACAAAGGGTCCTCAAGGTGGGTAATACATGGCCTGGTTCCCAGAATCAGGTAAGCACCAGAGATGTGTGGTTAAGGCAGGACCTACTGAGGGCACATTGGCTAAGAATTAGGGGAATCCAGCAGAACCAACTCTGGCCTACTTACACTATAAATTGGGCAAGAGGTCTAACCTCTGAGGCTGTTCCCTATTCTGTAAGATGAGAACAGTAAAATCTACCTTAAAAGGTTAGATTATGATAAAATGAGAAAGTATGATTAAATATAACAGTCACACAGTGACAACACAATAAATGGAAAATACAGTAGAAAGAGAATGGTCTTTGCAGGTCTGAATCCTAGGTATGCCATTTAGTAGCTCTATTGACTGGTGGCATTTTCATCCCTTTCACTTTAGTCCCTCATCTGTAAAAAGAAACTAATACATCCTACCTCATAAAGGCTATAGTGAGGACCATAGTTACATAGTAACTCACTCACCTAGCATGCACAAGGCTCTGGGTTCAATTCCCAGCAGAAAGACTATAGTAAGGCTGAAATAAGCTACTGAGCATAGCATTAAATGCCCAAGGAGCAATGGTTCCTTTCCCCTCCTCCTCTTTTGAGAAACAGGACAGTTTAAAGTCCCTGTGTCTCCGCTAAGAAGGGGTGTTATCTGCTTCCTCCTGACTCGGTAACTTCTTGGACAAGCTACACTACTGATTCAGGAAGGTTGCTACTTCCCAGAGTCTACCCTTACCAAGAGTGATGTACTCAATTATATCATATATATCAGTGAAAACAGCCAAGTATTTTTTCTAAAAATTCTCTCCTTCATAAGTTATAAAAAATTGTGGCAAAAACTGTCAGAATCAACATTTCAGAACTCTGGAAACTATCCAAAGACTTGCAGCAAACCCAGGGGCCATTTATTTCTCAGAACTAGCTTTGCAGCAATTTGCCTAGTCCCACCTCTGGCTTTTTAGCTACAGAAAGCCTTGAAAACAACCCACATTCCCAGTACAGCCCAACAAACACAAAAGGAAGCTGAGAGACCAAGCTGGAGCTCTTTCCAAGCCTTAATCTCAAAGAATAATCATAATTTGACCTGCCTGCTGATTCCCTGGAAGACCCTACTTTCAAGGCTGTCTGACTTTAAAAATGAATGGAACTGGGGCTGGGGATGTGGCTCAAGCGGTAGCGCGCTCGCCTGGCATGCGTGAGGCCCGGGTTCGATCCTCAGCACCACGTACAAAACAAAGATGTTGTGTCCGCCGATAACTAAAAAATAAATATTAGAAAAAAATTCTAAAAAAAAGAATGGAACTGTCCAAGTACAAACCTCCTTTTCCCAGAGGGCATTTATCAAAAATAATTACATGTAAATGATTTAAGTTAAAGGTTGCCTGAGATGGTAAATAACATTCAGGGCAAATAAGAGACTAAAAATCTTAAATGAAAAGCAGAGGGATGAGATTTCCATAGGATCTTTAAAAACCTCCAACATATTCCTGGAATCTAAAAGCCCATATGCAAAAAAACGACAAAATACAGGAAGATAAAGTTTGTTACTAGAGACAAAGGATATTATAAAGAATAGAAAACAACAAAAAAAAAATCAATGAATCCAAAAGTTGGTTCTCTGAAACCCTAATAAGCAAAATAAGCTTTCAGCTGTAGTTAAAAAAAAAAATTTAAAAACTCGAATTACCAAAATCCAGAATGAAAGGAGAATCCCACTATTGACCTTATAGAAATGAGGATCATATGGGTTAGAGATGTATGTAGCTCAGTGGTAGAGTGAGTGCTTAGCATGTATTAGGCCTTAGTTCAATCCCAATAGACACATATACAAGACTTTAACAGAATACTATGAATAAGTATATACCAACAAATGAGATTAGATGAAACTGAAAAATTCCCAAAAATACACAACTACTAAAATTGATTCAAAAAGAAACAGAAAATCTAAATAGCTAGAAAACAAGAAAAAAAATTGAATTAGTAATCAAAACTTACCACAAAAAAATAAGCCAGAACTAAATGGCTTCATTGATATTGAGTTTCCCAGGGCTGCTATGACAAATTATCACAAGCTCAGGGGCTTAACATACAGAAATTTATTCTCTTATATTTCTGGAGACCAAAAGTCTGAAGTCAAGGTAACAAGATGTCAACAGTCATGTTTCCTTCTGAATGCTTTAGGGAAGAATCCTTTCTTTCTTTCTTTCAGCTTCTAGTGGCTCCTAAAATTCTTAGCATTGCTTGGCTTATAGGTGCAAAAATCTGATCCCTGCCTCCATCTCTTCACAAGGGATTTTTTTTTTTTTTTAAAGTCTTTACACTCTTCTAAGGACATGAGTCATTAGTTTTGGAGTCCACTCTAATATGATCTCATTGTAACTATACCTACAAAGCCCTTATCTCAAACAAGGTAACATTCTGTGGTTCTGGGTGGACAAGACTTTTTGGAGGTGTGGGGAGACACTATTCAATTTACAATAGATGAATACCAAAGAAAGGTGAAATTAACACCAACCATTCTCAAACCCTCCTTAAAAAAAAAAAAAAGAGGAAAGAACGTCTTCTGAGTCATTCTATGCAGCCAGTATTACATTGATATCAAAACC